GGGCTGGGGATTCGAACCCGCCACCTTAGGTGTACGTGGCTGGCGCCTTAGCCGGTTGAGCTATAGGCGCCGAGCCTAGAGACAGTATCTTGAGCTTGTTCAGGCCAGTCTCAAACTCCTGAGTTCAAGTAATCCATTAGCCTCAGCCTCTCAGAGTGCTAGGATTACAGACATGAGCCACCAGGCCCCACCTGGAAACACTGCTTTTCACTGAAATATTTGCTTATTTTGGCTCGGTGCCCACAGCTCAGTGGTTATGGCACCGGCCACATGCCACCCAGGGCTGCTGGGTTCAAACCTGGCCTAGACCTGCTAAACAGACAATAACAACAACAACAACAAAACAGCCAGGTGTTGTGGTAGGCACCTGTAGTCCCAGCAATTAGGGAGGCTGAAGGAAGAGAATCGCTTGGGCCCAAGAGTTTGAGATTGTTCTGAGCTGTAACGCCATGGCCACGGCACTCTACTGAGGGCAACAGTAAGATTCTGTCTCAAAAAAAAAAAAAAATTACCTTGGCTCAGTGCCCGTAGCTCAGGCAGCTAGGGCGCCAGGTACATACATCAGAGCTGGCAGGTTCAAATCCAGCCCAGGCCAAAAAACAGCCAGGCATTGTGGCAGGCATCTATAGTTCCAGCTACTTGGGAGGCTGAGGCAAGAGAATCATTTGGGCCCAGAAGTCTGAGGCTGTTGTGAGCTGTGACACCACAGCACTCTACCCAGGGTGACAGATTGAGACTCTGTCTCTGAAATAAATAAATAAAAATTTGCCTGGCTCAGTACCTGTAGCTCAATCAGCTAAGGTGCCAGCCACATACACCAGAGCAGACAGGTTCGAATCCAGCCTGGGCCTGCCAAACAACGACAAATGCAACCAAAAAATAGCCGGCTACTGTGGTGGGCGCCTGTCATCCCAGCCACTTGGGAGGCTGAGGCAAGAGAATCACTTAAGCCCAGGAGTTGGAGGTTGCTGTGAGTTGTGATGCCACAGCTCTCTACCCAGGGTAAAAGCTTGAGGCTCTGTCTCAAAAAAAAAAAAAAATTGCCTATTTTGGTATATTTTGAGAAAAAGGTAGTACATCATTCCAAAGATATGCTTTTATTAGGAAGAGAATGAGATGTTATTTATTTTATTTTATTTTATTTATTTATTTATTTTTTGACTAGATTTTTCAAAGCTTTATTCAAATTAATATGTGGGTACAATATTTAGGTTACATTTTTGTCACTTCCAGATTTTATTTATTTTTTATTTTCTTTTTTAGAGACAAGGTCTCCTCTGTCACCCAAGCTGAGTACAGTGGCAAGATCATACCTCACTAGTCTTGAACTCCTGGATTCAAGCAATCCTCCCACTTAGCCTTCCAAGTAGCTGGGAACTACATAGGCGTATACCACCATGCCTGGCTAATTTTAAAATTTTTGTACACATAGAGTCTATGTCACCCAGGCTGGTCTTGAACTGGGTTCAAGCAATCCTTCCACCTCAGCCTCCAACAGTGCGAGGATTACAAGATTATTAAAAGAATCAAGGCTCGGCGCCTGTGGCTCAAGCGGCTAAGGCGCCAGCCACATACACCTAAGGTGGCGGGTTCGAATCCCCAGCCCGGGCCTGCCAAACAACAATGATGGCTGCAACCAAAAAAAAAAAAAATGGCCAGGCGTTGTGGCAGGCGCCTGTGTTCCCAGCTACTTGGGAGGCTGAGGCAGGAGACTCGCTTGAGCCCAGGAGTTGGAGGTTGCTGTGAGCTTGATGCCATGGCACTCTACCCAGGGGGATAGCTTGAGGCTCTGTCCCCCCCTCCCAAAAAAAAAAAGAATCAATTTAGGCATTTGCCCAAGAGAAGTGAAGAAATACATCCATGCAAAATGTGTGCACAAATGTTTACAGCACCCACTATTCACAACTGCAAAAAAGTTGAAGCAGTCCAAATGTCCATCAGTGGATGAAGAGATAACATGTGATTTATACCCATACAATGGAGTATCATTTAGCCAAAAGGAATGAAGCACTGACACGTGCTACAGTGTGGCTGAACCTCATGAACATGGCTGAAACATCATGCTGAGTGAAGAAGCAGACACAGAAGACCACAGATTCTACCTTGGCATTCATGGAGAATCTCCAGAACAGGTTAATCTCCAAAAACACAGAGCAAATTTATGGTTGTCAGGGGCTAGGAGAGGGGGAATAGGAAGTGACTACTAATGGAGTCTCCTTTTGGGGTGATGGAAGTGCTCCAGAACTAGACTAGATAGAGGAGGTGGTTGTATGACACTGTGATTGTACTAAATGTCACTGCATTGTGAGCTTTGAAATGGCCCGATTGTATGGTAAATTATATCTGGGACAAAAAAAAGAATTTTTTTTTAAGAGACAGAGTCACTTTGTCACCCTTGGTAGAATGCCATGGTGTCACTGCTCACAGCAGCTCTTGGGCTCAGGAAATTCTCAGCTACTTGGGAGGCTGAGGCAGGAGGATCCTTTCAGCCCAGGAGTTTGAGCTGTCTGCTAAGCTAATGACACAGCCTGGGCAACAGAGTGAGACACTTGTCTTTTTTAAAACAACAACACACATACACACATACACAAAGAACACTGTGATGGATGTGGACAGATGCCACACTTTATCATTAAGGATAAGGCAGTATATTGTGTGATCTCATTCATGTTTAAAGTTACATTCATATCTGTACTCACATTGAATGTCTGGATGTGGTTGCTGGGAAGATGAATGAAGGGGTTTCCACTTTCTATCTGTCTCTAAAGTTTGTGGTTTGTTGTTGTTTAGCAGGCCCAGTCCCGGTTCAAACCTTTCAGCCCTGGGGTACAGGGCCGGCATTCTAATCACTGAGGTATGGACACCCAGCCCAGGGATTTGTAATTTTTAAGAAGCATATATTACTTTTACAAGCACCAGAAATGACATAGGCCTGGCTATGTTGTGGAGGGAGAAGACAACAAGCTGCTGTGTTTGGCGGACAGCCAGAAAACAACCAGAAGTTCTCCGCCCAGGGTGTCCCTGCACCCTTGATGAGGCCTGTCCCCTCTGAAATATGCTGTCCCAGACTGGTACATACTCACCATGGGGTGATTCTGAGCAGTCTTCAGCAGCGATAAGGGAAGCTGAAAGACAAACAAAGCCCTGTGATATGTCTGACCAGCACCTGGGTGCTCTGCCTTCAGAGAAGGGCTGGGGTCGTTACATGGTCCTAGAGGTGCAGGAGCACGGAGCATGGATGGCTCACAGCACTCTACCCAGGGTGACACCTTGAGGCTCTGTCTCAAAAAAAAAAATTATAATAAAGTGCAGTGGCAGCATCATAGCTTACTGCAACCTCAAGCTCAAGTGATCTTTCTGCCTCAGCCTACTGAGTATCTGGGACTATAAGCATGTACTACCACACCTAGCTAATTTTTATATTTTCTGTAGAGATGGAGTCTTGCTCTTGCTCAAGCTGTTCTCAAACTCCTCACATCAAGCAATCCTCCTGCTGTGGCTTCCTAAAGTGCTAGTATTACAGGTTATGAACCACTGCTTCCAGCCTCTGGTCAATTCCTTACAACTCACGCTTCAAACATCCACACCCTGACACAACAGAGCATCATTCTCCATGTTTCTAGATAGCATCACAGTACAAGTCCTTTTGCCATTTGCACTTTACACTCAACTAGTGTCTGTGAGATATCTCCATAATGGCGAGCATACTATGGAGTTGAGGATACTATGGCTTGGAGACTAAGGAGCTTGCCCAGCACTATAAAGGTAGGTGGAGAGAAAGCCTGGCTTGGCTGTTGTCTGGAGACAACATAAGCCCAGGCCTCAAAAAGTAGTTCCATCTGGCTCGAGAGAGAAGCCCAGGCCCCACTAGGATGTCAGTCCCAATCTGAGGTGGCTGCATTGGGGCTGGATTTTCAAAGACAGAAGGTCACCAGAAAGAAAAGAAATAGTCTAGAAAAAGTCTGGTTTTCAATAACAATGCCAGATAAAGGATGGAGGCTTTATTTTTTTTTTATTTTTTACTTTATTATTGTTTTTTTTTAGAGACAGAGTCTCACTTTATCACCCTTGGTAGAGTGCCAAGGCGTCACACAGCTCACAGCAACCTCCAACTCCTGGGCTTAGGTGATTCTCTTGCCTCAGCCTTCAGAGTAGCTGTGACTATAGGCGCCTGCCAT